AGAGTCAACATGCTGAGTTTCGCCAGGTCAGTGACTCCCCACTACCACACTCGACATAATAAATTGTTTTTAAAATTTTAATTTCTGTGTTCTCAATACTTACCCCAGATGACATTGGTCCCCAGTGAAGACCACAGTAATCAATGGCATGAGCAACAATCATTAAATCAATATTCTGTTTGACATTAATAAATAGATTTTAACCACGTAGTACCTGCCTATAAAACAGAGGGAAAAGTGTTTTGTTCTGATTTTTATTTTAAGTATTTACTGAATCCCTACTATGTGACAAACTATTGCATATTTATTTAATGCTCACAAGGTGCTGTATTCTCTCTACTCAAATGAGGAAACAGAGGACTCTAAAGGTTAAGGAATTTGCTAGAGGTCATTCCAGTAACAAAAGAGACATTAGAACTCAGGCCTGGTCAATCTCATGTCGAAACCCACACTCTATGCACACTACCAATCCATCCCTCCCAATCATTAAACTGACCGTATGTTTTAAAGATGAGTCCTTTGGTTTGCTTTAAATTGCTTGAAAATTGCCAACAGGACAATGAGCTTCCAAACCAGCAGTGAATAATGCAAACTGATTTCAATATTCTCCTTTGTGATAAATCTGCCTTCGGATGCACCCACCGGACTCTGCTTGGCACAAAAGACCAGAAAAGAAATAAGGAAGAGGAAGAAAATGTCCCCATATATTTGGACAAGCGGTTGCTAAACATCCTTTGATCTGAAATCAGTCACCATCATTCCCCTGTCTCGAGGCCCTGTTTATCCCGCTTCTCTACATCGGCAAGGCTGTTTCTTCAGCGGCTTTGGAGTTTTTCTCCAAATACCGTGAGCAGAGCACGTGTGTGAATCATGCCGCTGGTATGGTCCCTTCCTTCTTAGTACTGTGATGGTGTCTTTTACGTACACACCTTTAAGTGCAGAGAAGTCCGGGACACATTCCTTCAACCTAAAGTGATTCCCCAACAAATATTTGGACTCAAATCAGTGATTCTTTGAAACAATGAGTCAGATGAGTCTGACCCCTAAAGCAAGACTCCTTCCAGAACCCTTTGGGGACTTTCAAAGATATGCTACATGAACTCAAAACATTAATATAAACAAATTGACTTTAACCATCATTTTTCTCTTTTTTTTTAAGATTTATTTTATTTTCTGCATGTGATTATTTTACCTGCATATATGGATGTGTACCACATGGCTGCCTATTGCTTGAAGAGGACAGAAGAGTGCGTTTGATGCTCTGGAACTGGTTACAGACTGTTGAAAGTTACCACGTGGGTGCTGGGAATCCCAGTCCTCTGCAAGAGCAGCCAGTGAAGCCATCAAGCCATCCCAAGAGTTTGTTCTTCATGGACACCAAAGTAGGCACTCTATTGGAACTCGAGGAGTGGACGGCATCCTGAAAACCTGGACTCGTGCTGAGTGGTTCAAGTCAACATACCTTTGTGTTGTCTCCTCTGGGAGAGATGAGCTCTTGTGTTGTCCTCATGAAAGCTGGGACCTTTCAAAGCAGCATGCCCGGGCAGAAGGCTAGGGCTGGGCATTTGCAGTGGAACAAAGTGGGGTGGGTTACTCTTCGAAGTTTTCCCATTTTCCCAACAAACATTCCCACCACAATCACCCCTCCTGGGGGAACATAGCCCATCCTGTTTCCTCTGCCCGCAACCGCAGGGGATAGCCATTGGATTCAAGCTGGCTGACCATGGTGTCCTACTCACCTAACTGCATGACTAACATGTGACCCAATGAGGCCACAGTCTTAAGTTTTTTTTCTCTGTATAGCTGTATCACAATGTGAAAAACTATTCGATTCGAAATTGAAGTTTTTTTCTGGCAACAACCCCTATCTTCCTGAAGTGTGACTAAAACCAGGTTGGAATAATGAAAATGGCAGGTTCTACTTGACCCTGAGACCTGGATCTGCTTTCCAAGGATTCGGTTCCCACAGCAATTTTGTGAGTTCTGTTGAATCTATTGAATCCAGTTGGAATAGGTTCCCTTTCCAAGTTTTAAACTTTATCCTGGCAAGTCAAATTGAACTCAGTGTAGTCGCGATGCTGAACAGAGTCCACAAGATGGCGCCAAAAGCATTCTTTCCATAGCTTCCCAACCAGATGTTCACCCTGATAAGCCACATTCTTCTTAGGCCAAAATAAATAAATAAATAAATAAATAAATAAATAATAAATAAATAAATAAATAAATAAATAAATAAATAAATAAATAAATAAATAAATGAATGAATGAATGAATGAATGAATGAATGAATAAATAAATAAATAAATAAATAAATAAATAAATAAATAAATAAATAAATAAATAAACATACTAGGATTTTTTTAAAAAAATCTAGATGGTTCTGAATGCACTCCAGTAGTTACAGCTGTGTCTCGTGGGGGCATCCTGCACGTAATGGTTTAAAACAAACAGATGTGCAAAGGTACAATGTGGTCCTTTCTTTCAGGATAGCATCGGCCTGCAGTGTGTTTAGACTGTATATCAAAATGCTCTGTGACGGGGAGGTCACAGAGTCCCCTCTTTCTCACCCATCCACCAGCCCTCTTAGCCTCCCTGTCTCCATGGCCAAAGAGAGCTTTATTTTAAATTTGTTACCTATCGGTATATCACAAGTCCGTGTCCCCGTCTCCAGTCTAGATTTAGAGCACCAGAGCCTGAGAAGTCTTCTTAATGCTCACCTACAGTTTTCAGTTAAGACTGGCTGCACATAAACACCAACTATCAGGTGCTGTCGTTGCATGAGGTTCGATGGGAGTCTATGAGAATGGAAGTTCTTGACCTCTTGGATAAACACAAGGCTCCTGCCACCACAGTAAAAGGTTTGTATACTCTATAGAGAAAACTTTCCTTCTTGGCTTGTTGATCCCACTGGGTGAGAATAAGAGCACTATCACATTTTTAGCCAAATTTGAAGGAAATTTAGCCAGGACGATGGACACTGACTACCTTCATAACCGGGATTTCCAGAGAATGATCGCGAATTATGTTAGTCCAGTGCTTATAAAGGCAAAACCCACAAGGCTACTTACTTCCTGCCTTGGTCCAATTGGGGGCAAGCATACATGCTGACATACTTCCTGCCTACGTACCTCCTGCTTACGTGTGATCAAGCACCTCCTATGCAGTTGGGGCAACCAGCCTTGTTTACAGATGTGAAAATATGTGGCTTGTTACCTTACATGAACAACAGCCCCCAGTATTCCAGGAAGGCATCTGCCCTTGGACAAGTGGGGCTAACAGGTTAAATAAAGTCATTTTTGTTTTCTGGCTCTCCTAAGCACAGTAATTAAAACTTAAAACATAACTTTAGGCCCAGTAGGCTTCCTTTGGTAATAAAATGCCACCATCACATGTTATGTTCTGACCACAGTTTATAATTTTGCTTTTGACCATTTTACATATACTTCTATTTAATTGTTTCTCTCCTTCCCTGCGGCTATCTGTCTCTACGAGGGAGGAACTGTATTTTGTACCACCAGGTACTTTTCTACCTAGTAAAGATGCTACTAAACTTAAGTCTTAGAGAATATTGTTTTGGGGTTGTTGGTTGGCTGTTCTGGTTGAGACAGGCTCTCTCTCACTACACGGCCCACACTGGTCTCAGGATCACAGTCCTGCATCATCTGGAGTGCCAGATCTGTAGTCACACACTGGGTTCAGCACACACTTTCTATTGAAAACTCTATCCCCCCCTGGGATAGGAAGCCATTTCTTTTTCTGAGAAAGAGCTCTCATCTAGTCTGGGGAGGTCACAGGACGTGTGTCCCATCTGTACACTGCTTTGGAAGAGCCACTGGGCTTTACCCGGGCCATCTAGAGAAGACAAATGTCTCCCAGAAGTATGTGGGAAATCTCACTGACAACATATCTGGTTAAATGACCTATCTTTGCCATTGTCAAGGGGGAAAAAAAGACTCCATTATACAAAAGGAAGGTATTTTAAGAATCACTTCAAAATACGTACCCATTCATCTCCTCACTAAATATGTGTGCAATATAGCGATGTGTCTTTTGCAGGAGCTGACAGTTAAATGTCAGACCAGTGCAGAGAGAGGCATTTGGCTCAACTGCACAAGGGCAGCCTTGACTCCCTCTCTAGTTCAAAAGGAATGTCCTCCAGCAAATGTCACCCTCAGCTCAGCCCCCTCCAACGCGCCTCGGCAGGATGCTCTGGAAGAGAGCTGGGCAGGAGATAGAAAAATTGAGGCTTAGCTCCGTCACTGACCTACACACTGACCTCAACCCAAATAACGACCACTCCTTCTCCGGTTACCTCCGCGTCACTGTGAAGACACTGCCGGCAATTTACGACAGTTTAAACTTTGACGAATGTTTCAAATAAGTTGTTGCATTCGATCATAACAACTTTATCTCCACTTCTGAAATAGGAAAATGGATAAATAATAAAAAAAAAATTAAACAAATAAGTTGCTACAATAAACAAAACCCAAGAAGTCTGTGGCTTAACATCATGAGAGTTGTTTGTTTCTCCTCACTCTTGTGTAACCCAGGCGTTCCAGTCCCTTTATGAGGTAAAATGAAGTGCCCAGGCTCCTTGGTTGTGCGGCTCCTCCAGACTCTTGGACCTTGGCCTGTCTTCCTCCACCAGGCAGACAGGCCAAGAGGGTGGAGGAAACACACCCACTTCTTCACTTCCTCCTGCTGGAAATGACCCAGATGGCTGCCAGTCTCTTCTGATGTTGAGAACCAGTCAATGGCTCCATTCAGATGAAAAGGGACATTGGGAAATGTGGCAGCTGGCTAGGAACTGCTTCCCAGGGACAATACAGTTCCCTGGAAGAGGAAGGGAACTGTGGTGAGCAATCTGAGCCCTGGTGGTGAGCAATCTGAGCCCTGGTGAGCAATCTGAGCCCTGGTGGTGAGCGATCTGAGCCCTGGTGAGCGATCTGAGCCCTGGTGAGAGATCTGAGCCCTGGTGAGAGATCTGAGCCCTGGTGAGAAATCTGAGCCCTGGTGAGAAATCTGAGCCCTGGTGAGAAATCTGAGCCCTGGTGAGCGATCTGAGCCCTGCCCCACAGAGCAGTCATGTCACTGCTTCAAGGCTAGGGACTAGGAGAGATAGGTGTCAGCCACCTATTTCTGAGCAACCAGTGACCACAAGCTCAGCCGCTGAAAATAACATGGAATTGTTTTTTATAGATGCACCAGGTCAGGTGTCTGGATGTGGTTTAGCTGGGTTCTCTGGTGCAGAGTCCGAAGCTGCAATCCAGATGCTGGCCAGCTTTAGGTTTAACCAGAGGCTCAGTCAGGAAAGAAGCCATGTTCCTACTCACATGGCTCTTGGAGGTCCCAGGACCCTCGCATCTTTGGATTCATGGCAGTCTCCCCTCCTCAACACCAGCACAGGAGGAAGGAATAGACAGAGAAGCGGCAGGAAAGACAGACAGAGACGCTAGTACAGTGGCTCTCAGCTTTCCTTCTAATGCTACAACCCTTTGATGCAGTTCCTCACATCGTAGTGACCACACACACACCAACGTAATTATTTTCATTGCTACTTCATAACTGTAACTTTGCTACTGTTGTGAATCATAATGTAAATATTTTTGGAGACAGGGGTTTGCTGATGGGGTCTCGACCCACAGGTTGAGAGAGAACCAATGCTCTAGCGTGAGTCAGCTAGCAAGAAGGGGTGGTACAGAATGTAATGCTTGTGAGTTGCAGGCATCCTGACTCAGGTCTTCATGTGTAGACAGCGAGCATTCTTAACCACTGAGCTGGTCTGTGTAGGGGGAAGAGGAAGGGGCAACCAAGTTTCAGATGTGGCCAGAGAAAGCAACAGAGAGGGGAAATGGAGAAGTTAGGAGATGAGAGTCACTCCAGTAGGAGGCGCTGTTAAGGGGCTGTGATGATGAACAAAGGCGGTGAATGTGAAAAGGCCTAAGTGAAACAGGAAGAAAAGCAACAGAAACACAGCAGTCCAGGCTCTGTGAACTCCGCTTTTTCATTTAAAAGTGAGGATAATGATTTACTTGTAGGATTAGAATTCCTGGTGTGCTGAATGAAAAGCAGCGATTACAATGAATTTTGTACTCAGAAACGCTGAGAGGCGGATAATGCAGTTAGTTGGCCACATGCCCACGACGTGGCTGAACAGATTCTGTGAAGGCAGCGGCAGGTGAACCTTTCCCTTCCAGGAAAGCATGCAACTCTCTTGGCTTTAGTCCATTACGGAGGACTAAGTAAAGAGAATCAGCCACTCGTATTTGAAGTCAGAATTCTTGAAACCACCTTCCTGCACATCCACGGCTCTGCCCCATTCATGCACGGCCAACCCTTCATGAGAAGGAGCCAGGGCTGGAAACCCACAGTCACCCATTTGGGGCCTGGTCTGGTCCTCTACTTCAAGAGCTGGAGACATCTAACCCAAGACTAAAGAAAGAATACAAGACGGCCAGCAGACCAGTTGAGGCTGCCAACGAAGGGACAGAGAGGGGGTCAAGGCACTCAAGTAGGAAGATATTGCTGTCTTGCCCAGAAGACATTTTTCTGCAAATGACCAAAGGATGCACACATAAATGAATGAATGAATAGCTGCCAAGGTTTTGCTCAGAAGGGTAACACTATAGGTGATGGATCCAAAAGCTATTTGGGTTTGTTGCCATATGATCCACTCTATTTTCCCCCTAGGCCAGCCTAGAATAACTGAGTCCTTCCATCATCTGTTATAATGGGTCAGCAGCAGGAAGAGGGCCAGGGGATGGGAACCCAGAATTATTTGTTCTTCATGTCGACCTTGGGGGTCTGCCAGCTCCCGGGGGCTTCCTTCAGGCCTGCCTTCAGCCAGATACACTTCAAATCTTTCTCAGACTTGATCTGCTTCCTTTTCAGACTTTCTTCCTGGACTTTATGCTGTAGAAACTGTGTCCTCTTGATCAGTTTACAGTGATCCACTCTCTTAAGTTCGTCACGAATTGCAGAACAAAATCTCCTGTACCAGAATGTACAACTTATAAGAAGACTAACTTATCTGAGGCCCACTCCACAAAAGGGAACTCATGCCTGGTATTCTAAACCCAGTCAAAACCCCACAAAGTCTTGGGTCCTAGGGGAGACCTTAGAACATCAAACTGCCTTCTATTATCTACATGCACCCA